TTACTATTATTTCTTTGTGAATATAATTGTTATAACTTCATAACAAATTAGCTGCCCCGCGAACTCCGTTACACCTCAGAATTAAAGGAGTTTTGAAGTTTAAGTTACGCAATAAATATCTGAACGCCTGTTTGACAGTTTGTATGGAAGAATAAAATTGTTGTTTTTACTATTTCTCCATGCAATTTCTTCATAATTTATCAGCGTTTAAACCTTTCCTGGACTCCCACGAATATTTCAAGACTAAAATTAGCCAAATCGGTTCAGCCGTTCTCGAGTTTTAGCGAGACTAACGAACAGAAATTAATTTTTATATATATAGATCACATTGTTTTGCGTACTAGATACGCAAATACAAGTATACAAAATGTGTGAAGTAAGTTACAAAAATGAGATTGAAACGGTTCAATCATTTACTTGACCTCAAGAACAATAAAACACAAACTGTCTATTAGATACGATTTTTATACTGTTTGCTATTAAAATAACTATATTAACACAATGTTGTATAATAATGTAATGTTGCGACTGAGTTACGCTTCGTCGATGTCTTAAATTATGAGTCTTAGCGGTTGTTTTTTGTTTATTATTAATCTAAATTTATTTATTTATTTATTATTATTATTTTAGACAGATTATTACAGCCTTGGTAGTTTAATCTTATTATTATAATAATAATGTAATATATAATCTTACCAATATTATAAACGCGAAATTTTGTGAGTATATATGGATGGATTGATGTTACTTACCCTTTTACGCACTAAACAGATTTTGATGAAACTTTACAGTAATATAGCTTATACATCAGAATAATATATAGGTTATAAATTTCATGCGGGTGGGTATAAATTCAACCGTGGTACTCTATACACTGATTTAGCACACCGCTTTACTTCCGATGTTCGCGGGTTCGATTCCTCGCATGGTGCAAACATTTGTATTCATGAGTATTGTTTTATTCCATACTTGTATCCTTAATTTAACTATAACCTAAAACATCACGTTAGTTATCTGATATTTAGCCGATATTTACCGCCTAAAGCTTACCACTTCCGCCAGCATCGACCTGCAACCCGATCTTATTGAAGCGGTTCCTTATTGAGCCGCAATCTGCCGTGAACAATACACATTACACCATATCTTTATAGAAAATTGTCTTGGAGAGGAAAACAGTGAAAGTTTTCGTCTCACGCATTATTTAATCGCATTGAAGTATAATATGGAACTCTGTAATTTTTTTTATGGATAATAATGAAATGCTTTACCGGCCTGCGCTAACGGCTTATGTTGGCTGGCCACCAGTGGAAGATGATAAGATGATGTCAAGTCACAAAAGTGGTAAATTCACCATGAATTTATCACGACGCTTTTCAAGGGGAACCACGTGGAGGTCAACCTGACCTGGTATAGAGATGCCATTGATTGAGATGAATTCAGCCAACTCGAATTAGAAGTACCAGGTGATGGTAAATGAACGAATCAAGTGATAGAACGAGAGCATGATTCAGTCATCGAACCAACAATGACATGAAATGTTCCGATCATTTCATATCATACAATTTTCACTCGTCACAAATATTTCAATATTGATTTGAAGTCGTTATAATTTTTTTTTGGCAAATTCGTCCGGTTACTTTATCATTAAAATGATTATGTGTTCTATAAGTCCTTCCGCGGCTTTGAAGTGCCATTTCTACTCGCCCCCTATGGTTCGGTGAAGCTTTCAAGGTTAGCTGCGGCCAAAAACATTAGATTTATTCGAAAATTAAAAAAAAAACTGTTTATTCTAGATAACTCGAGTCAACTCGAGGTACCCGAATTTCAACTCGAGTTAACTCGAGTTATGTTTATTACGAGTTAGCACATCTCTAACTTGGTACATTGCTAGCAAAGGAGTTATTAGTTCCACATTATTAATAATTCCCTTCCCCCATGTAATTTAATGTTATAACGTGGCGGCGTGGTGGATGGGTCATTGGGCTCCCTAAAATATGGTCGAGCGCAATGATGGCTGGCTCATACGTCATACTCGTGAACGAATGTTGTAGGAACTGGTCTGCTCTAATCACTACGACAGATTTAATCTTCCATTCCGCCACATTCCAAACTGTCTCTACAGTTACAAGCCAGCTTGTTAACCATTACTGTTCATAAAAAAGCTATCTCTTTAATTTACAAGGCTGCTCAGGCGCGATTGTACTAATTTGTGCCCCAAATTATATTTTGATACAGCAACACTGAAGCGTCGATATTTCAGCGGGCCATAGACAATATGTTAACCGTTACATGTTCATTTTCGAAATTCGCTGACGATCTTATACGCAATCATTGTAAACCACTATGAAGTAAATTAAAAAACTAGCCTAGAATCGCCGAGTTCCAACAAGACCTTCTTCTCACTCAAAGGCGTAAATAAAAGCTATTGGAATCGACTTAAAAGGCAGTAACATAATCCTTTTACACAAGGGCGTTTGCGGTGATACAAATGTTGCATAAGAAACCACAATCTGCATACACTGATGTAATATAACAATGTAATATTGTGCAGATGACGACAATCTGTATGTACGTGATCTCATATCTTTACTGTAATTTATAACCGAGGTAGGCTTTATAAAAATTTTCAGCGTACAGGAAGACGGGCCTCTGATGGTAAGAGGTGACCGTTCCCTCATATGATATACCCGTAGTCTAATGTATTGCATCCTGAAATCTAAGATGATCAATACAAAAGTTAGATAGTACTTTTTACCTTATGAGACATCCGTAGTACCTCTTGCATTGCATCCGGAGAACTAAGATGATCAAAATTCAAAAGTCAGGTTGAACTTTTTACCTTATCATTCATTCTTCCAACCATAACATAATTACTTACTCGATAAGATCGCCTTTTGTGCCTTAGGACATACTAGCCACCCACCCCGGCTTCGCACGTGTGTACATATATTATACATATAAACCTTCCTTTTGAATCACTCTATCTATTAAAAAAACCGCTTCAAAATTCCTTGCATAGTTTTAAAGATTTACCTCCGATCGATCCCCCGTCCAATTCAAAAGGGGATTGAAATTACGACGGCCTGAGCCGAGGTTCGAACCCCTAGTGGTGCCCTCAGACTAAAGTCGTATCTGTCAGGCAGGAGTTGGCCTTCAGCCGCTCTATAAGTCCTTCCGCGGGTTTGGAGTGCCATCTGCACTCGCCCCCTAACGTCCGGTGAAGCTGTAAAGGCCAGCTGCGGCCAACAGCATTAGAGTAGTCCGAAAAAAAAAAGAAAAACAACCACCGCGACTTTGTTTAATACTATTTAATGATTATCAGTTTGTTCTTTGTATAATTGTTTGTCTTTCTGGTACAATAAAGAGTAAATAAATAAATAATTTAATAAAAAACTGATGTGCTGTTGACTGAAATATGTGCGTCAGATGTATAAACGCAGAGCAAAGTCTACTTCTGGTGAAAAATATCATCCGTTATCCCACTACAATTGACGACCTCGGTGGTCTAGCGGTCTAGCACACCGCTTTACGTCCGATGGTCGCGGGTTCGATTCCTCGCACGGCACAAACATTTGTATTCATGAGTATAATTGTTTGTATCGGTCTGGGTGTTTTCTCTTGTATAATATGTATGTATTTACGATAAAAAAAATGATTTATGTATCTGTATCAGTTATCTAGTACCCATAACACAAGCTTTAGCTGGTTTAACTTGGGACTAGATGGCGCTGTGTGAATTGTCCTGAGATTATTATTATTATTATTATATTATTATTATAATTATAATTCACACAGCTCCATCTAGTCCCAAGCTAAGCAGAGCCTGTGTTACTGGTACTAGACAACTAATGTAAATACTAAGATTTTTTTTTTGTAAATACATATTATACATAGAAAACACCCAGACCGATACAATCATACTCATGAATATCCGAAATGCTCAGCTGTATCAGCTCTTGAAGTATCTATATAAGTGTAGACTGTTTTCTAATGTTATTATGGAGTTGTTCGTACGTACCGAAATTTGTTTGCATTTACGATCCATTGTTCGGTTTTATTATTGGTGATATTATGGGAGAGTTGATTACGTGTTGGCAGTTTAATAATCAGATAATATCGTGGGAATAAACTATTAATAATTACTAATTTTGTTTTTGTAGAAGAAAATATCTGTAGTGTTGGTTTTTGGTATAGTGGGTGGTAATGGAGGTGGATGGTTATAAGGGTAAAGGAAGGCCGAAAAAGAGATGGATGGACTGTGTGAAAGATGATATGGTAAGAAAGGAAGTAAATAACGCGATGACTGCGAACAGGGATGAATGGAAGCGAAAAACATATTACGCCGACCACAAGTAAATGGGATAAGGAAGAAGCAGATGATGATGAGGGGTAATGTAGGAGAGTGTTGTAATAGTAATAAATTTTAAAATAATAATATCTTTGGATAAATCACACAACGCCATCTAGTTCCAAGATAAGCAGAGCCTAAGTTATAGGTACTAAACAACTACACAATAAATATTTAGATCCATTTTTGCAAGACCATACATAATATATGTATATAGAAAATACCTAGACCGATACAAACAATCATACTCACGAATACGAATGTTTACTCCGCTAAAAATCGAACCCGCGACCATCGGAAATAAGCCGGTGTGCTAAATCACTAGATCACCGAGGCCGTGTAAATGTTTTCAAAGTATAGAGTATACTAGCTGTGCCCGCGGTTTCACCTGTATGAAATTTATAGCCTATGTGTTATTCTGATATATCTTTCATCTAAATAGTTTCAGTACTTTTTGCGTAAAAGAATAACAAACAGCCATATACTCACAGTCTTTCGCATTTCTAATATTAATAAAATTCTATTACATTATCATTATTATAGTTACAAAAATATTGCGGTACCTCGAAAGAGATCTATTTTACTTTACAGCTACTTCTTTTTACACTATTTTTTAGATATATATGACTGTATTGTAACAATTTTCTTCCAGGGCTACATTCAGACCTATCCCTCACGTCACTGGACGGCGAAGAGGGTGAGACATTACGTAGGGGTGCTCTCGCCGCGGCCTGCGCGGACGCAGTTGCGGCTTACGCCACGCTAGAAGGCTCCCGGGTCAGAGACTCGATAGCAGCGCATGCACGTCGCGCGTTAGAGCGAGAGAGGCAGATAGATGAGAAGAACGAGATCATTGCTGATCTATCTTCCAAGGTATGTTTTTTAATGTTATATAATACGAGCAATGTAACTCCTAGTAATTTACACATTGCGTTAATATTGTGTAAAATAACCACAGATTATAATTTGATCAGCTGCGCATGCGCTATAAGAAATTCAATTTAGATCAAATTGCCCTATACAAAATCAGTTTATGCTAGGGTTACCAGATGTACAGGAAAGTTTGTGAGTATGGATGTTTTTCTCTTTCACGCAAAAACTATTGAACGGATTTTGATGAAACTTTACAGTAATATAGCTTACCTACATCAGAATAACAGGCTATATATTTCACGCGGATAAAACTACGGGCACAGATAGTGAATAAATAAATGTAGAAAAAATATTTTACGTGTGCCGTTTTGTTATCTATCTATCTGATATTTACATATATTATTATGTATATAAATATCAATAAATTATCAATATATAATATTATAATAATTACAATAAATTCTTTTTCTGCAGATGATTTTTTTTAAAACATACACAATATCATTTTCATTATTATCATTATCACTATATAGTATAAAACAAAGTCGCTGACGCTGTCTGTCCGCCCGTATGTATGCTTAAATGTTTAAAACTACACAAAGGATTTTAAAACGGTTTTTTTTTAATAAATAGAGTGATTCAAGAGGAAGTTTCATATATATAATACATGTACACCCGAGCGAAGCCGGGACTAGTAGCTAGTATTTATATATACCATTGTCAAATAGCCTTCTAATTTAGGAAATTTTGGTGTTTAACATTATTTTAATACTCTTCTATAGCTGATCCAATAGTTGGGATGAAATCCCTAATATGTCCAGAAAATTATGGATTGCCTGGCAACCCTATTATAAACAGTTTCATGTGCAAGCTCTAAATCAATTTACACCACTTTGTACAAAGTACATCATCAACCGGGTGCTTTATAGACAGCTATGTTTGTGTCCGGAAAATCGATCGATCGATAAATCGTTCGAAGAATCGATTTATCAATCGATTCGGGCCGGTGTAACGCAATAAACGGTATTTCAATTGATATAACCGTGAAGACCTGATTGAATACATCGATAGTGTTGTGATTGATAGTCACGAATTTAATCTATAAATATAACATATTTATTGTCGTACATTTTAAATTAAGAAGCCCAATAAATTTATATGAATTCTTTTTTTTTTAACCCTAAATTTACAGACAATAGAAATTTGATGGTTCTGTTCTTACCGATTAGTAGAGTTTATATAAATCAGAACTGAATGCCTCCTTTTAAAAGTATTTTATAGTCTACATCAGTGGTTCCCAAATAGTTTTTGCTGCGTACCACTTCAAAAAAGACCTCAAACCTTAACAGACAGATAGACAAAGATTGTACAAAATATTATTTTGGTGTATGTACCGTATTTATATTCATAGGCATGTAGTAAAAAACTGCAATTTCAATATTACAAACACACACTACAATTTTATTTACATATATAGATGACCATGTTTTCAGCAAATATTTATTTTACGGGCCCCGACATGGATCAACCATGTCGGGGCCCGTAAAATAAATATTGCCCAGCCCTGCCTTTTACTACTGGATTTATTCATTACCATTTTTATATTTATTTCTTCTCCTATACAGATTGTACATAATGACATCATTTGTAACGTGTATTCACAACACTCGATCAATTATAATCCAGTTTTGTTTATCTTAACGCCTTATAAGACTCCTTAAGTCATCCATGTCCGTGATTTTGTAAGGATAGCCAAGTGGTTGAGGTTTATGGGTTGAGTGGGTGGATGGGTGGGCGCTTATGTACAGTTTAATGGCAAATGTAGAACCATTCAAATATTTATGGTGATATTGTTGAATCATGGTGTTTTCGCCACGATTGGATAACATCATTATTATTATTCTTTCATTCTGATTTTACCATGATGAACTAGGTCTAACGTAAATTTTATCATCTCATCCCACCTGTCCTATTATTGCTATTAATTTATATATTTGATTTAATTAACACATTATAAACTTACAGCTAATTGCCAACACTATATAACTACTTAAAATTATACGATGATAAAAATATTCTTATTTTATTATTTATGGAAGGCAAGGCTTCTGTATATATGTCAGCATCTTGGACCTTACCGAAAAATAAATTTTATCACTCATAGTGGGAGAATTGCTAGCGTGGCTTGTGCGTACTGTTGCTATGAACGCGAAAGTTTATGAGGATGGATGGGATGGAAGGATGGATTGTTATAGTTTAGTATTTCTATCGGTTATTCAAGCTCTGCTTAGCTTAGGCATAGATGGCGCTGTGTGAACAGTCTAAGGATATTATTATTATACTACTAGTGCCCGCGGTTTCAACCACATGAAATTTATAGTCTATGTGTGTTATTCTGATGTATAAACCGTATTACTGTAAAGTTTAACAATATACGTTTTTGCGTGAAAGAGTAACAAACATCCATGCATGTATAGAGGCTCACAAACTTTCGCGTTCATAATATTATTAGACATTATTAGGAACTATTTATTAAAGATTTTAAAATCAACAAATTTGATTTTCACTATTCAGAACATACTACATGCCCCTACTACGGATATTGCTTCTGCGTTTGTGTGCGCTGATAAAAGCAACTTAATAAATAGATCCCTCGCAGTAGACAATTATTTGATTGTTTATTATTTTTAAGAATTGTTCCGATTAGTTTGCGATAATGGGCTTGACATGTCTGAAAACAAAAACCCCTTAATAAATCTAGATTATAAAAAAAATATTAGTAACATATAATATAAATTAAATGAAAATAAATAAAATTATATTTATATTGAGTTCTTCAATCAATACAATTTATATACTGTTATATGTAAACTATTTATCATAGTTACAGTATAGTACAGGAATACTGTATTTTATAATCTGCCGGCATAATCTCGACTGCAGACTGCCGCAAAGCATGGCGTGACCTCAGTGTAATACCATGGTCACAGTTAGCCACGCCGGGTGAATAACCCCTGCCAGGATATACGTACTTACATAAATAGCTACAATATTTGTAAATACTTTTTTATTTCTCTTATGGCTCTGGCGATTTGTGATTTAAATCCTTTAGATGGACAATAATCTCAATTGACATTTTAATTGTGAATTTCTCTAATTCTTAATTCGAATTAGTCAAAAACTGCGTCTTGTATTATTTCGAAATTAAGAAGAAAATAGGTGCTCTACGAACTAATATTATAAACGCGAAAATTTGTGATTATGGATGGATGGATGTTTGTTACTCTTTCAAACAAAAACTTCTGAACGCATTTTGATTAAACTTTACAGTAATATAGCTCATATATACATCAGCATAACAGATAGGCCACAAGTTCCACGGGGAAAATGGGAAGCAGCAGTTATTCATACATATTGAAAACTGACTCAGAAATGATGATTAATGCAAAGATTATTCTTAATTCAATATTCACGTTAAATTCCGATTCATCAAATGCGCGATATTAATGTAATCATTAAATAATATTGTATAATTTTCTGCAAATTTTCTTAATTTTTCGTTCCGAAAGAGTATTCTAGAAAATATTGGAAAATAAAAAGGAACTGTAAAATGAAATTAGTTTAGTATTGCTCAACTTATAGCGTGACCTAGGGAAATAAGTATTTATTTCAATATAAATTATTGATAAATACCAGTAGTATAGTAGAAATTACAAATTAAGCAGGTAACACAGAAACACTACGTTGAGTATCACAGATGTCATACTACGACATGGTCTGTGGTACTGTTCGTGTTAATACATTTTTTTTTTTCATTTATTATTAATATTTTACGGCTCTGGGTACAAGTGTTTTTTAGCCCAACATAAAGTACAAAAACTTAAAAACAATCACAGTTTCTTCACAGTGTTGGAAATAAATTTCATGTTCATACATACAGCGAAATGTTACCACTTTTCATGTGGTCAACCGTTAGCTTGTTTACCATTCCAATTAATACAAAAAAGTTTTGTAGTTATGTTCTTATTTTAAAGTTGTCTGCTTACCATCAAAACGTTTAGATACAAGTACATTTATATAAAAAAACAAAAGTATTGAATTAAAATAGCCAAGTGATCGGCGTGAAAGTTGACCTTGCTGACCGTACCAAGAATACCATTGTGTTGTCGCCAAGGTTGACTTACTGGCAGATTACAATTTAAGTTAAGGTACTTACCCACTTACGTAGGTGAGTGACTAATTTTGGAATAATAGCCTGTAGCTATGGTGTAGTTATATAGATTACTAGCTGTCCCGGCAAACGTTGTTTTGCCTTAAAATAAAAAATAAAATTAAGGGGTGGACTACATACTAAAATAAAATAATGCCATGGTACGTGAGGAAGAAGGATTCTTAGTAATGAGGATAGTAACCTCATTACAGGTCCACCTGGAATCCATAGTGATCGACAATTATCAATTCACCACGATGCGAAAACTGAACTGACGTCACGATCATCTTATCATCCTTAAAAAAAGTGCCACAGTTACTCATGATTACAAATGTTTATACCGTCCGAGTGAGTCGAACCCGCGACCATCGGAAATAAGAAAGTATGCTCAGCCAATATACTTCCGAAGCCGTCGAGTGTAGTGTTTATTTGCTCAGTGTTGCCATCATTAAATTTAAAATTACATACACTAACAATATAATCTAGTTTAACATTTTTTTTCCATTCATATGGGATATAATTATTTTGTAAAACAGGTTCTCACATTAGTGAGCGCTGGTTTTGTTTTATTTTTCCCTCAACGAGTGTTCAACACGCGACGTTCTACTTTCATAGTGTTTTCAATTTGTTATCGATAGTAGCTGAAGTTGAGTTTGAAGGTTGTAAGGCCTATTTTACATCCTATATTATGCCTCTATTATGTATCTTATGCGTTCAGCGATTATAATATTAGTGAGATAACATCATTTTAGATGTTACTAGCTGACCCTGCAAACGTTGATTTGCCATATAAATTAAAATCACTATTAAAAAATAAGGTTTGATGTTAGAAGGGTGAAAATTTCTTGTTGTATGTATTTTTAATACCACATTATAAAAAATTAAAAAATATTGTGCAAATATGTAAAAATGTTAGGGTTGGACAACCCGTATCACTTAGGGGTATGAAAAATAGGTAGTAGCAGATTCTGACACTTACTGAATATGCATATAAAATTTCATCATCAAAAATCGGTAAACCCGTTTTGGAGGAGTAGACTAACTAATATTGTGACACGAGAATTTTACATGTAAGATTATTCTGTATTCAACACAAAGAATACCATTTATTATGTTTAATTTTCATGATTCTCTCACTTAGTTTGTTTATACGTACAGAATTTTTGTTAAGTACATTTTTGTTATGGAAACAATGCAATTGTTTGTATTCATATTAATCAACGGAAGCATAATAATAACTGTGACAGACCGTGGGACATCAAGAGAAAGCGTTCACACCTTTTCTTATTCAAATAAAATACATCTCGTTGTCTTGTCATTTCGTCAAACAATTAAGATATAACTGCTGTGAAAAACTCAAGAGAAGATAGGCCTCGGTGGTCTAGCGGTTTAGCACACTGCTTTACTTCTGCTGGTCGCGGTTTCGATTCCTCGCAGAGTATAACATCGAGTGTCATTGTTTGTATCGGTCTGGGTGTTTTCTATGTATATTATGTGCCCGCGACTTCGTTCGCACAGCGCACGCAACGGAAGCCCTCAAATATGAATAATTTTCCCCGTTTTTGCTACGTTTTTCACTGTTGCTTCGATTCTATTAGTCGTAGCGTAATATTATATAGCTCAAAGCCTTCTCGACAAATGGACTATCCACACTATACACAAAAATAATTTTTCAATTCGAACCAATAGATCCAGAAATTAGAGCGTTCAAACAAACAAACTCTTCAGCTTTACAATATTAGTATTGACATATTTAAAAAATATGTAAAGTTGTCTAATAACTATAACTCTCCTAGCTTGGGGCTAAATAGCACGATGTAGTTTGCCCTAGGTTACTATTATTTATCCGGCGTTAACGCAATAATTTACAATGGCAACACATAATGAGACCGTCATAAAAATAATATCTCTCTTCTCTCATTACAGCTATCTGTAGCTGAAGTGGAACTACGCGCGGCTGCTGAAGAACGTGATAAGCTGCTAAATGACGCCAACTATAGCAGCCTTCAGAATGACGAGGCTGTGACGCGGGCCAGGCAGGAGCGGGACGAGGCAATAGAGAGAAAGAAGACAGCTGAGGTACGTAACTCTAGATATAATAATAAAACAACCCGACTCTGGCTTACTGTGTCCGGACTTATCATTTGTATATCACAGCATAAAGATGTATGAGTCGACTGTGACCCATACAATCTGGATGCTATGATGTATAAATAATAAGTCCGGGCTGCTTTCTAACTTGATATATTGAGTACACGTTGCTTGAGTATGAACTGATGATTGTTTGTGAGTATTTGGTGCGTAAAGGAAAACTATGTGTGGGCGTTATATGAACGCGGAGTGATATAAAATGCTGACGGGTTTACGGTGACGTACCGTACACTGACACTTACAAAAAATAAAAATAGTCCCAATCCACCTCCCAACTACAGGTGTTATACCAAAACTGTGTGTGTTTAAGATATTTATTGATGCATTAATCAATAAATATCTTAAACTTGCCTCCTAGTATATACTGCCCACTACAGAAGGCTGTAATTCTAAATACATACCGCATAGTCAGAAAATCCGTCGAACAGATCAGGCCAATAATATTCTCGTAAAAATATGTACAACATTGTTATGCACTTGGCTTAGGCCCGTACATAGCAAAAATACCGGTGAAAGCCGATGAAAGATACGTAAATTGGTTTACGTAGTTCTAATTATTCTTCCTATAAACGATTACCTACATGTTTTTTTAAAATACGCATCGTGCAGAGAATTTACTAGTAGTATCTAAAGTCGGCCTGTATCATAGATACTACATTCTACCAGCAACTAATATAGCATATAGAAATACTTCTCTAGATCTAACTGGTCATAGACAAGTAACAATAAAAAAATTACAATCCACTCAAATCCTCGGCTGCGTTAGCGTTGTTTTTAATATTTCAAAAAAGGAATTATAAAATGGTTAAAAAAATTGAGTTTGGAAGCTAAGTGTTGACTGTTTGGCGACAAGACCACGATTGCGCTATATGGTGTGGTTAAGGTCGTCGTCTTCGCCGGGGAGGACGGTGTCGTGTGTGTGTGATAGCGTTGAAGGGACAGAACAGGTGGACCCGTTGAAACTATTTGCTAATGTTGTGTATTTATATTTTCAGGTGGCCCTGGCGAAAACAAGAGTGGAATTGATGCAAGCCAATAGCCAGTTATATGAAGCCGTCAGGCAGAAGGTGGATCTTGGTCAGCAGCTCGAACAGTGGCAGGTCCGTATTAATTATATATTTGAAGTGATTTCATTATATACATATTTTAACTAGCTATGCACAATGGTATCACCCATAATCAGGGTCCTAGCGTGATGTTTAATTTGATAAATGATTTATGGGAAACGCGCGGAGTCCCATCTCCTTATGCATTGTTATCGACTGGGATCGTATTTGTCAATATTAACAAACGTCTTTTGTGAACTTGTACATTTCTCCTCTCAATCTAAATATATATAACTCAAAGGTAACTGACGTAGTGATCTATCAACGCACAGCCCAAACTATTGGACGGATCGGGCTGAAATTCCAATTATGCAGGTAGATGTTATGACGTAGGCATCCGCTAAGAAAGGATTTTGATTCATTCTACCCCCAAAGGGATAAAATAGGGGATAAAGTTTTGTATGAAATTTTGTCAATTTTAAACCGATCGGGCTGAGACTTGGCATGCATAAAGTTACTATGACGTAGGCATCCCCTAAGAAAGGATTTTGATAAATTCTACCCCTAATAAAATAATAAATTTACGCCAGCGAATGTGAGGGCAAAAGCTAGTAATATATAAATATGTAAAAATATGTGTTCTAAATCTAATATTTTTTTATACATATATGTTAAACTAGTTCACGGATTTAATTATATTTGTATTATGACGATGTTCCAGATGGACATGCAAGAGCTTATAGACGAGCAAATGAAGCACAAGCTCACCACACAGGAGAAGAGAAGAAAACTCCCCGAGCAACCTGCCCCCACCAGAACCTCCAGGATCCTCGGATTTTTTCAGCGGTGATCTGCTGTACCCAACTCTTGGTGCGCCTACTCTATGAAGCCATAGACAAAAATACCATATCAACCGTATACTTTTTAATATTAAAAAATTACAATCCACTCATATCCTCGGCTGCGTTCACGTTGTTTTTAATATTTCAAAAAAAGAATTTTAAAACGGTCGCCGCGTCCGCCATCTTGGTTTTACACACGGACGCTTTAAATACAGCAGCAGTTGTAGGATATGTTTATATTTTATTTTTTAAGCCGTGTGATGTTTATACCTTTGCAGTGATAATTAGTTTAATTATTAGTGTACTATTAGTTACGTTACTTTTTACACTTAATGTTTCTTTAAATTTATTATAGGAGTCACTGTAAAAAGGATACTATATTAGAATTTTAAATACAAATCACATTGGTTATTAGAATAAAACAAATTTTGGCATTGAACATAAATTGGATTGGTTAGGGCGGATTTGGTACAACAGAGTGTATTTTATAAACGGACATACCGAGAGGACTACCATCTTTATTTGTCCGTATTTTATAATTTTAAAGACAATACGACACGATGTATGAAAACGACATTCGAATTTTATAATCATTTCATTCCACCATTTTGTTTCATTGCGACCGCCATGTTGTTACGAACCGTATCAATGAACTAACCTATCCATTGCTTTTTAACTTGTACATAACATATTATTAACTTAAGTGATGAGATTATTCAATATCTTAATTAAATTCATTTAAAGAAGATAACAATACTGAAGGCTCGCACCGTCTGTCTTATTTATTTTTAAAAACATTTAATACTATAACTAAAAATCGAACCATAGACAACCTCAGACATAAATCTATCACAATAAAATGGACATAAACTTCATGTTTTCCATATAATGATTATTAAATATCTACTTGTCCGTATTAATTTTCATTTTATCTTATTACAAGGTATTATACCATGACGCATGATGTAAGTACACGAGAGTACATATATGCATCAGCCACAAAAACCTCTGCCCTACGGATGACTGGGAGAAAATACCACAAGTCCATAATGTGCACTTTATTTTGTTTATATGTATTAATAATTTTTCAAAACTGTTAATTAGTTCCAAAACCTATTAATTAAATTATAAAGAAAAGAAACAAAGGCAATAAAATATTTTCTTTTATGTTATTAGTATAGATTCGAGACTTCGGTAGTAATTGTTCTTAAGTGAAGTTGGTGCACTACAATTAGTTAAGTTTATAAATGTAATAAGTTAATATCTACATGTTTAAAATAGCCATATTATTCACCATAATAATGTACATGGGAAATAAACATGATCTGCTGCATATATACATATATATATTATGTATTAATTAGAATATATATTTAGCAATAGTTGTAATTGTAAAAAGAATATTGAAATATTTGCAATAATTGTAAAGTTTGTACTGTGCCTTATTAAGTACCTGGCCTTCAAAAAGTGCCTTTTTCAGTAAATTGCATTGCAAATCTTAGTGCCTCGAAATTTCTAGTATGTACCTCAATTATAAAATACAACAAAAAATGGTTTTATAAAGCCTTTACTTCATAAAATATTTAAATTACATACATAATTTTATAGCTTTACCAAATATTCGAAAATTAAAATCCAACAAAAATTTGCTATTGGAGTGTTTTGTCACTTTCTATCAAATGAAGAAAATAGCTTGTAAGACAAGGACGGGACAATTCAATGGCTATATAGGTTTTTCAGACATTCGACGTATTTATGAGTACGGAGGTTAGTTTTTATTCCGCTCTATGAAGTCTAAACATCTTAAGGTATACAGAGTATACACACACCATTGCTAAATTCCTATATTTTTTTATTACATTTCGAATAGAGCATTCTGTCATAGGTTCATACCTCCTTATACTGCCTTGGTGTGTGTTAAAAAAGTTATATGTAAAGTTAACCCATAGACAATATACATCTTTTAAAAAGGTCAATTAATTTTTACCATAGAGTAAAAGAATTAATAAAACTATCCAGTTTAAACATAGATTATATTAATTATATACGACGTTAATTCTTCTAAACTTTAGGTACACTGTATTAATATTAGAAAAAAAAAAAATTGTTTTGATTTTTTATTTAAACATTGATGTGTGATTAGTAGGTTTAAATTTCTATTGCATCTAATGTTATAATGTTTTCAAAGATAGTTACTTAGGCAATGCAATTAATAATGAACTAAGTAGTTAAACACAGCACGTTTTGAATTAATAATGAAATTCTATAAAAAATATCGAAATAATAAAATAACGAACGATGTTAATTTTACAGTCTTATAATTATATGGTACATTTGCTTTTCATTATACTTTTTACTTTTTAACGTTAATAAACTTGTACTTATTTATAATATGCATGTGTAATAGTACTTATATCGGTTTATACTTGAATCCTTATTTTATGTTTATTAGTTTTGGGATCTTATCAAATTTTAACAGTTGATCGTGCATTTTACGTTAATCTATATTTAAATCAATATATTATAAAAATATATATCAAGTATAATATAATACAGTAAGCAGTGATGATGAATTGTGGAATAGAGATATTTTTCCGTGACACTTTAATTTTGAAGTAATCACGAAATACAAGAGTAATAATAAATTGCTAATTTTAATTCTATTTTATAATGCTTGATATTAAACAACAATCTGTCTAAATAAATTGTTTTAATTGCTAGTATCTGATTATTATTTAAATATACATTAAAACACAAGCAATGGTGTTCAAATTTAAAATAAATATAATGAAAAAATAATACAATACTATGCAAAAAGATTTTGATCAAGGTCCCAACGCGAATTAGCACAATTAGTGGCACAGACAAATATTAAATATTAGTTTTAGCAATTAAACAGCACTTAAATTAGAATTCATTAATTCATTACACATAGAATAGAAGACATTAAAATATATTTTATTAATTTATTATTAAGACTGAACTAATTATTGAAATATAAAAGTATTAATTCTACATTATATTTCTACATTTCAGTGTTTTGAGGTTATTAAAACATGATATTGAAAAATGTCATAATAATTTATAGTATTTGTATAAAATAAGAATATTTATATATATATATATCTTCCTAATATATATGATTTATGTTAAATGTTATAGTCTTACATAACTTTAATAGTCGAAATAAACAACAAAACATTCCTTCTTGATAAAAAAAATGGATACATTTTCTCGTAATGTTAATGTACAAACCTAATAATAATAATAACTAATAAGATATCTTCCTACGAAACCTTAAATAAGAAGCAAATTACTATATAAAAGATAAATATATGACATTTTAAAAAATATATTTAAAAGTATGAGCGAGTACTTTATAGTTTACAAATTTGTTAATAAAGTTTAATTTCAATACATTGTCACTTATATGTATAGATTTTTTAATATATTTTCTATTTTCAAAACATGTAATTACATAGAGAACTTTCAGAATAACAATAGAACCGGAAAAAAAATTAAACTTTGTCTATGGTATTTAAAAAATTAAACTACTATTTTTTCAAGTATCTCAATTACATAAATGGCTTTGATAACCATACAAACTATATTGAACTATGATAAAAGTCAGCATGGTACATTATTGAACTTAACCTATAAAAAAGAGCATGGTATTAAATTCTGCATACTATGACCTATATCATAATTTAATAACAAGGTTCTGAACACAGATTGAATTTGAATATATAAGAAATATGTAAGAATAGTCGTGCCTTTATTAGTAAAACCCTAATAATATGCTTTTATTATATTTTGAATATGTAGTATTATTATTTTTAGATAATAATAACAATTGCATGCATTCATAGACAAACATTCAAATTACTTTATCTACATTATCTGTAATAAAAACAAGTATCTGTAGCTATCTGCAAGATCTTCTGTTGCTACAAGTCGTATCGTTTTAGTTTGTATGAAGTAAAATGGATCGTATTTAATATTAGAGAACAAAGTCGGCTAACCATCTGTGCTACATTCATTTTACTTTACTAAAACTAAAACTAAATAACTTTTATGTATTAGATACGTAATTATTTAATGCAGTCGTGAACAATTCTTATTGCAAACAGATTTAAATATTTACAATGTCGCCATTATATGTAGATCATTTTACAGTTACAATTGCGAACTGTAGATACAACCGCGCTTATAACTACAACTGTTATATCGATTGTTCATAGAAAATCACATATTTATTGAGTTATAATCCGCTGCCTCGCTGCTCTAGTGGTTTAGAACCGCTTTGCTATGGTTGCGGGTTTGATTCCTCGCTCGTTACAAACATTTGTATTTATGAGTATGATTGTTTGTATCGGTCTGGGTGTTTTCTATGTATTATGTATGTATTTACAAAAAAAATATCTAAGTATTTGTACCAGTTGTCTAGTACCAATAACACAAGCTCTATTTAACGCTGTAGTAGATGGCGCTGTGTTAATTGTCAAAGATCATTTATTATTAACTTATAATCTGTTGCAAATTGAGAATTGTTAATAACTGTGTAATAAAGAGCTGATCCTACTGCAACAGAATTGACGATTTAGTTATCCGATTATGTCTATCACTATATTATTTTAATTTATATAAATATTATTAATAAATAAATTATGTAAATATAAAAAATTGAATTATTGCACGTTTCTATCGCAAATAAAATTGTATCGTAGTAATATATTGTGGTGAATTCTTTATTTTTCTAAGCACAAAACATTTATGGCGAGTATACTTTCTTAGTCATTACATTTATTTCTGTCTTTTGTATTGAATCTGTTGTTTAGCGAGTTCTAGAGGAAATTAATTTATGTAGGCTTGAGGTGAAGTTATATTATTATATAATAATTTACTAACATTATAATAGGTGTCTAAAAATATATTAGATATTTTTTTTATTAAATAACATCAGTTAAAAATTTGTCTGTATATTAGTTTTGCATTTATTGTGTACTCCTATTTGCATGTAAAATAGATATCTTGCTATACAATAGATTCAAATTATGCACTTAAAACAATTTTAATTAATAACAAACATAATCTTATTATTTGGATCATTGTTAAGTGCATGTGTACTTAATATTAACACTTCTCATAAGTACTTAATTATTATAATGTAAAATAAGATCTACATGACTAGTAACTTACTTTATTATAATTTGTTTGTGGAATTAATTAATAAAATCAGAATTTTAATATAAAATTTTTATTTGAAACCTTTTGAAATTGAGAGAGAAACAGGAGAAAAACTTCTTTTTGCTAAATAATCTACATAGAAAACACCCAGACTGATACAAATAATCATACTATCGAATACAAGCATTTGCAACGGGAAGGAATTGAACCTGCAGCCATCGGAAGTTAAACGGTGTGCTAAATCAGTATCAACTAAATCTAAACATCTTTTTTATAGATGGCAACTCGGCAAAAAATTAAACTTAAATGAAGTTGGAAAAATGTGAATTCCTCTTTCAGAATTAAAAGAAAAAAATCTTAATAAAAAAGTATGTATAGTGTACATCTGTCAGTGTTTGGTAGGAGTTGATTTTTCGTTTAGTATATTATTTTGGTTTTTATCGATATTTTAGTCCGTGGTAAGGTGTGGTTTTACCAAAATGCCTACGCAGGTGGAACAAAAGACAGTTGACCCTGAGGCTGAACTCAGCAATGTACAAAGAACGGTAAGATCCAATTTTGAAGAAATTACTGGTGTTGTCTGTCGAAAGTTTTTTATTAGACTATAATGTTTTGTACATAAAATTTTTATACTTTCTATTTACATCGTATTTTTTATTATTAAAAGTATTTGGCCAATACGTCAGCAACAGTTATTTAATAACCCACATTCCTCTACCATATGTATTGATATATGAACATACATTATATAATTTAATAATACACAATTACAGAATTTAATGATACTTTTTTTATAGATAAAGAAAACCTCAGAAGGTAGTTCATGTCGATAGTTCGAACTTTGATAGTACCTATTCGATGCTGGTTCAGGATAGAGCAACCTTATTTGCCTTTATAGGTAGTAATGTCGAATTTCAGTACTATTCTGGTACTTTTTGTGAAAGCCTATTACTGTCTTACTTTGTTTTAAAAATTATTTCATACATATAATAAAAATAATATCTCAGGACAATTCACACAGCGCCATCTAGTCCCAAGCTAAGCCGAGCTTGTGTTATGGGTACTAGACAACTGATATAAATACATGGATACATTTTTATTTAAATAAATACATATTATTGTATACATAGAAAACACCCAGTCCGATACAAACAATCATACTCATGAATACAAATGTTTGTACCGTGCGAGGAATCAAACCCACGACCATGCGTTGTGCTAAACCACTAGACCACCGAGGCTGTCAACCTAAAACAATTCAGACAACACCAACTAGTTGAGATTGTGTTATGGACGCTAAAGAACTGATAGCAATAATTATTGAATATAAAAATATAAACACCCTAACCAATACAAATAATCATACTCATGAATACAAATGTGTGCGTGTAAGGGGATGCTAAATTGTTAGACTACCAAGTCTAAGTTTTCCTATAAAAATTTAGTAAAAAAGCAATACAAGTTGATCTTCTAACTAATTTTATAATTTAAAAAATACAATTCATGTACAATCTTAATAATAAAATGAGGTCGCTCCGCTGTCTGTTTGATCATTGTTAGATCATTTAAACTACGCATTTTTAGCGGTGGATAGTGATTCAAGAGGAAGGTTTATATGTACATGTACACACTGAAGCCGGGCGGGTAGCTAGTTAAATATAATTAGGTACATGTGGCTTGTATGTATGTATGTATGTATGTATGTATGTATGTTGGACTCCATTCTCCGCAATTAGCCTCACATTCGGGCCGTTGTGCGTGTAGAGCCAGACTACTAACGTAGCCAGCCAAGCTCCTCCCAAAAGCGCAGAAGACTCCTGGTGTCTTCGCAGGCTTCACGGAGCGACCTCACCGTTCCGAGGATTTGTTTTCGTTGTTCGGCCACTGCCGTGCACTCCAGGATTACGTGAGCCGCCGTTTCTTCAGCTTCAAAGCAGCCCCGACAAAGGGGGCTGTCTGTAGCATCAATTTTGTATCCCTATCATTATTTTGAGGTTTTGTCTATCTAGATTAAGTAGACGTGTTGTTAACCGATGGTACATGTGGCTTATTCCAGTTTCAAAAGTTGGCGCCAATGTGCAGCGTGGAAAAAAGAGCGGGCGGAGTTCCACAGTTGGCTCCACAAGAAAAGCAATTGGGTATCCTGGCGCACGAACTCAAGGAGACACTACTCTGCATCAACGTTAGAAAACTTTACAATATTTATTTTAAAACCAAAACTGTATACACAATTTATCATTTTTTAAACTAGAATAACGGATGACGCTGGCGGGTCCCCAATGGATACAAGATGAGCATGAAGTCATGGACATAGCCAGCTATGGGCTCATGTTTTAGGATAAGTTTTTTTTAATGGATGATAATGGAATGGTTCACCCACCTGCGCTAACGGTTTACGCTGGCGGGGCACCAGTGGAGGATGATAAGATATAGATCGTTACAAATTCACTAGGAATTTATCAAGATGGTTTCCAGGGGTAACCGTTATAACAACCTCTTTCCCCCCTTTTAGAATAAGTAAGTAAGCCCCATCCTGTCCCGCCGTGGCTACGCCCATGACGTTAGGTCAGTCAGCCCATCGTGGCAAAATCACCAGGAATGTATCACGATGGTTTACAGGTGGAACCTGGAGGTTGACCTTACATGGTACGAGTACATTGCTTGCAATAGGATCATTAGTCCACATTACTAACAATCCACTTCCCTCTGCCCAGTGATCTTATTATTAATATTATTTATCATTAGCTCGCAAGAAAAGGCCAGCACGCCCTGAGAGATAGCCAAGTGAAGAATGGTATGCGAAAGTCGATCGTAGAGTATGAGCAGCTAGAGTCAGAATTGAGGGACGAGAAAGCACAACAGGCTGAACTGGACTGCCTGAACTATCTCGCACAGAAGCAAGTGGTCGAGTTACTGAAGAAAGTACCCACTGAGGCTGATGTACGTATCATTTATTTCTAGTATTAGATAGAATTATACCATGACCCTTTCCTGAAATACTTATAAAAACCCTTTAGAAACGTGATTTCCTTAGTGTTGTTCATGTACCTATATAGATTATAATGCATAAAAGAATCAGATAAGCTTCACAGGTCAAGTACCTGTGAAATTTAGGCAGAAATTCTCTGACAAATGCTTCCCTTATTACTTCCATCTAAAAACAGGGGATTGCTTACAGTAGAAGACATTACAAAAAGCTTATCTTAAATCGTTATGCCAACAAATTTATTAGTAGTAAACGTCTAAAAAAGTTATATAACATTACGCTACGACCAATAGAAGCGATGCATCAGTGAAAAATGTGACAAAACGGGGAAAATTATTAATATTTGAGGCCTTCCGTTGCGTGCGCTGCGTAAACGGTTCAAGTTACCCCTGCGAACAAAGTCGCGGGTACAGTTAGTAGATAGATAAAATCTTAATTCATTTGTATTGGCATAGGAACTGACAATGATAGAAAATGCAAACAAATGCCTCCGCCGTATGGAAAACCGTTTGGATCTAGCAACAAAGCGATTCTGTGTCGTCAACTCGGACAATAAACAGGTTCGAGAGGAGATACACCGTCTTCTTGTTGAAAGGTAGCTCTGTAGGTAGTTATTATATATTACTCTTATTATAATTATGTTTATCAGGTATATTTCGATTGCATTATTACGGTATTTGTATAATTTGACGTTATATACCTTTCAAAATAAGATCTAAGCTCCCCAATTTTGGTAGTTTTATAATATTATACCCTACTGATTACATATCTTTTTGTAGCTCTGATGCGTAATGTTGTTTCTAAGATTAGAGCACTCATTTTAACGTAACATTTTTGCTGATAACAAAACATGTAGTTGATAAGATAAAACTATGTCTTGCAAAAAGTCGCAATGTTTAATTAGATCCGTGTTGGTTCGTAGGGGGTGGACCTTACTACAGTTCTGTATATTTTAATGGCTTCTCCATATTTGGTACAGAAACGACTTTAACATACAATGGAATCGCACCATCGGTAAGCTAGTCAAAGGCAAGGAGTACCTGATGGATATATTTGAGATTGCAGCCGTGGCTTTCGGGGATAGGGATGAGTGCTGCAGGAAACTTGAAGCCTTGAAATGGAAGGGACTTTTCCAATTAAATAGAGATATATCTGTAAGACATTTTGATATTTGATATTTACTATTCCATCATAATTTAAACTCATTTTACTTTATTTCTATAAGAAAGCTTATAGAAATAAAGAAGAATTAGGGTAGAAAATATGACAGGTAGGTATATCATACTTCTTAGTTCTCCAAACGATGCAATAGCAATGTGTAAGATATTTCAACTCTATGTACTAGTAAAAGTATATGTAACCCCAACATATGTATATATAACGTAAACGTATATATAAAAGTAATAAAGCCTTAACAGAATGTGTATTTGGGGTCAGGGTGCAGATAGAACATAGATTCACCAACAGAAGGTGGAGGTAATCTAACATCAAAGTATGTATTTAAAAACTACCACAGGGTTTATTTTGTGGATGATAATGAAATGGTGCTCCCGCCTGTGCTAACGGTTTACGCTGCCAGGACACCAGTGGAGGATGATAAGATGCATATGAGGTCAGGTCAGTTAGCCCATCGTGACAAATTCACTAGGAATTTATAACGAGGGTTTCCAGGAGAAACCGCGTGGAGGTCGACTTAACATGGTACATTGCTAGCAATGGGGTTACTAGTTCCCATTACTAACAATCCCTTTCTACCATAGGGTTGCATTAAGCATGTTATGATGATGAATATAGTACAGTACAGTATAGAATACAGTACAGTAGTGCGTAGAGGAAGGCTAATGGCTCAAGGACATCTCAGTCTACCCATAAGAGACATGATGTCAAAATAGAAGATGTAACATTTGATATGCAGGAAATGCAATCATACGAAGGAGAGCTAAACCATCTTGCTAAATTAGAAGAGTTCTTGCGAGTCAAAGGCTCCCGGAGAATGTGTGAAGCGGATGAGAAGGAAGAGATTAAGCGGCAAGATGAGATCCAGCGCTGCGAACAAGAAATCGCCAGACATGATGCATTGCTTGAGGATATATTTGTAAGTGAAACCTTCCAATATTCTTTTCGCTTTTTTTTATAGTGGCTTATCTACTATTGTAGGGGGCAAAGCGTTCCGAAATATTTAAATATATTGATTGGCGGAATTGGACATTACTTTCCCATTCCTGTTTACAGCGACTGTCAGCCATATGAATAAATGTAAAAGTATAGACAATTATAGTAGTATACTGCGGAACTGTTAGCGTGGAATAAAAACCGACTTTATTCCGATAAGAAGAACTAATTAAGAAAAACTGATCAAGAAATTGAGAAGCATTCAAATAAAGAATAGTCAAAATAGGTTCATGGAGAAAAGAGGTAACACGCAAAAAAATGCAGTCAAATTGCGAACCGAACGAACGCCTTTTATCGAAGTTTCGAAATCGCTTGAATATTTTACGTAGTATGTATTAAGAAATAAGCTTTCTTGAAACCTCTTCTCTGATTATGCACAGGAGTACGCTGGCACGGAGAGAGTTGCGACGATAGTCAACCATTTTAGAATGTCGGAGATAGAGAACTTCTCGACGTTCGTGCTGCTATGTGAGGTGCTGCAGGAGTCTATTATAATGAGACGAGAGCTTGAGCAATTGCGTCAAAGAATACGTAAATATAATTAAGTTTATTGCAGTAAATACGTTCTTTTATAAAACAAATTTGTAAAACACGTATATTACCACATTTCTGTGGTTATCGACGCAACACAAGTCTCCAAAGGTTGACCGTAAAAAGTTGTCTGGATGGCTACCTTAGCCGCCAAGCTGCTTACTTTGTAATCTGTATTTTGGTTGTAAAGTGCAGATTAAGTAGTGAAATTACAGGATCAGAGGTATGACATCGTAGTACTTTGGAAAGACAACGCATATCTCGGGTATCACACTACAGCCTTGGTTGTCTAGCGGTTTAGACAACCGATGGTCGCGGGTTCGATTCCCCGCACGGTACAAACATTTGCTTTCATGAGTAAGTATGTTTGTTTGTATCGGTCTGAGTATTTTCTATTTAAATTATGTATAGATTTACAAAAAATAAAGTATCGTTTAATTTACATCAGTAGTCTAGTACCCATAATACAAATTCTGCTTAACTTGGAACTAGATGGCGCTGTGTAAAGTGTTCAGGCATATTATAATAATTGCAATGTGATTTCTGTAGTGCTATTCATATATCCGCTTATACTAGGTATAAGCGGATATATGAATAGCACTATATACTAGGTAGCTGTCTCTCTATGTGAAATATTTATTTTTTACATAACTTAGAAACTTAGATATGTGGTAACGATAAAACAAAATACTGTCACAACGACGAAAAAGACATGCTACAATTTGTATGCATAAATGGGAGTAGAAAGAGGTAGAAAATCAATGTTTAATTAAATGTGTGATGTTGAGAGAAATGGACGTATTCCATATTACGACTACTATCTCATGTTTGGTCACTTTCCTTTAATAAAAAGGCTTGTTTATTATAAAAACCTTTTTAATACTCAGTGGACCAACGAGACATAAACGAAGCGCGTGAAGAGAAGCAGGACAAGAGAATAGTGAGCATGAAGGTGGAACTGGAGGCCAGGCGTGCCAGGATACAGCATATGCAAGAACTGAACAGCACAGCAGATGCTACCATTGTAAAAGTGCTTAGAGGAATCGATGATCTTGTCAGGTAACCACCAATTTTTTAAACTTTCATGATTAATATACATCATTTATATTGTTAACCGGGTCTTAACAAGCATTGACCACAGCTAGTGCAACCCAGTCGAAACATTGAAAGGGGTAAATACTTTTATTTACCAAAAATTATAGAAATAGAAATAGAAGTAATCTTTATTCAAATAAACTTAATATAAGCACTTTTGAATAGTCAAGTTTGTTTATTCTACCGCTTATTCGGAATGCAGATTCATCACAAGAAGAATAAGCAAGAAACGTGTGTGTTGCTCGTTTAAATAAATATTGATTTACTTATATTTAATTAATAACAAGGATTGGGCATGCGACAATCAACATAGAAACCTCTACGCACTTAATCTCTGTTCAATCAGATAACATTGTCAGCGCTATGAATTTTATGTTAGATATTTTCTACAAAAACATTATTATCATTTATATGATAATTTTACGTGTTATAACCCGGTCTTGTACAAATGTTTATGTATATGGGCGCCGACGGTGGTGACAACTATCACAATTATACATATGTATGTATATATATTAACATCCTTACAATATGTACATATACAATTTTACTCATGTACATAATATTTATACTATCTTAAATGTATATGCTTCTATAAACGTACATCAATAGTTGATTTGAACTATTTTCTAGACTAGCGAAATGTGACGTCACACCATTGCTGTCACTTTTGGGTAACCACAAAGAAGTTACGAAATGGAACGTCCCAAAGTTCCTTAGGATACTAGAGACCGAGGTTAAGAGTCTCATTGAAATTGTCTATGGCGCTGTAAAAGTGAGTACATGTGAAACATTTTATTTTACTTATAAAGAAACGGAATTCTTCCAGGAAATAGATGAATTATGAATTTGAACTTAACAAAAGATAATAATATAGTTATTAGAAATAAAGATATAATAGCATTTTTTTATACTATGGTGGCAAACAAACGGCCCAACTGATGGTAAATGGTTACCGTAACCTATAGACGCCTGAAACACCAGGGGTGACCGACCCTTAATATACCCTTCTTGAAAAACCCCATGCTGTAGTCTCGTGAGAAAACCTCGGCAGGTAGTTCATTCCACAATCAAGTGTACGCGGGAGGAAGTTCCTCTGGAACCGCACTGTCCGGAACCACTTAGGTTCGTGTGGGGATGAATTCCCTGTCGATGCATAGCACTCTATATTTTTGTACTGAATTGCATCTCAAGTATAAAAAACATCACAAATAAAATTCTTTGCTTATTGTAGAAAAAAAATGCAGTTTTTTGGTATATTTTGTGTTAGATTGTTGGGCAAGGACCTTTTCGCTCATATCTTCATACTTCTTTATCCTTGGCTTAGTCAGGCCATGTATTAATAGTAGTTAATATACAAAAAATGTGACCATACTCACATACATTTTTTTTATAATTATACTTCCGGATCCTACTCTAATCTATATTTAAAAAAATAAATGGTGACTATAAACTCACCTCACCTCACCTCAATTTTTACTTTACTTTTTTTTTATAAAATCAAGCCTCCGGCTCCTACACCCAAGGCTCGTAAAGGTCCAGGTGCCCCGCAGCCAGCCAAGTTGGTCGCCGACCCCTACGTGGAGGCTTTGCGACCGAATAAAATTGAGAAGCTGGTCCCTTACCAGCCATGTGCTTAGTAAGTCTCTATAATATATTAATACGTGCAACAAAAACTTTGTACCCCTTTTTACAAAAATTGCGCGGACGGAAAATTACCTCAGATTATTATCCTTGTGAAACATTTTAGTATTTAAGATAAATTATATTATTTATCTCTAGACATATAAATAACTTTACCTTATTTAAGTATGTAACCGTAAAAATTTTTATATCTACCTAAATAGAAATGCTTTTACAGTTGCGTTGAGGACTACATAATGAATCTTGTTTTTGAAACGCCTGCCGTGCCCGCGGACAAGGAATATATTGAAGGAATATTCCACATGGAGGACGTGAACACAAAGTTTGGAATATACACGCTTACTATCCCAGCGTAAGTCTCTGTTAATAGTTTATTCTGAAGTACAGACGATTTTATAAAGGGGTACACTCAGCTTATTACTCTCATTCTGATCGTTAACATGTCCCATTTAAACGGGGATTGAAATTATGATGGCCGGAGCCGAGGGCGAACCCCTAGTGTTGCCCTCAGACTGAAGATCCAGGGTGGGTACGCTTCTGTATTCTAATTTGTTTATTTTGTTTATTTTGTCGCATTTTTATAACTGATCCGCACGGATGTACATGTATTATAATTATAATTATAATCATAATTATAATCATAATGGATCAGGGATACATAACAATTTTATAGTCTGACGTGTGCTGCGAATTATGAACTCCCATATTACGCGCCTAGGTCATTTTCCGGAATGTATTGCTGTTATCTTTTGTATGAAGTCCGTCACTTTGTTATATTTTTTTACTGATATTGTGAAACCTATTATTAGCTATACTATTGGTTTGTACTTTCTGTTTTTATGTATTGTGTTGTGTTGGTTTCAAATAAATAAATAAATAAATATAAATGTTTGATGTATGACCCATTCCTTGTACCATGTCAGGTTGACCTCCACACTCCCCTCTTGATAAATTTCTATTTGTCACCTCACCTCATAATAAATCCTTATTCCATTACCATCCATAAAAAAAATATCTTGAATCAGTCATCTATTGCTATAAACTGCATATCCGTTGCGTAGTTTAAAAGATCTAAGCCAACAGACAGCGGAAGCGACTTCATTTTATACTATGATGTGTTATTCTGACGTATAAGCTAAATTACTGTATAGATTAAAAATCTGTTTAGTAGTTTTTGCGTGAAAGAGTAGTAAGATACTCAGAAACTTTCACGTTTGTAATATTATATTAGTAAAACCTGACCATAATTGCGTAATGCGTAAAGCTTAAAGTCGCATAGCATAATAATTGACGTATGGAATGTGATGCCCTCTGTTACAACATATAAATACTAAAATAAACTTGCCATAACAAAAAAATACATTACTTATTGAATGACTGGAAATTGTCTTCTTAGCTGATAGTTCTCTCAGATCTTGTCTTCTGTTGATTCAGTCGCCTTCAGTTAGTTGCATCAATTTTTAAATTCGTTTTCGTTCTTCGCGTTTTTGTAATTGGATTGTTGTTTTTATTAAGTTTTTGTTGTTAATAACGACTACAGCAGCTATTTTAACAGTATTCACATTGTTATATCAACACAAAAAAAATATAAATTACGTAAGGAGAATTAAAATACAAAATAAAATCTTTATTTTTAGAAAAACTATTATCTAATTTTCTAAATTCTATTGAATCGAAATCTTAAAGAATTTAGAATTTAGAGAATTTAGATAATTAGGTGAAACATTCATACTTGACAGTATTATTTAATTAGATTTACATTTTTTTTCAGTAAACGTCATCCTTACAGAGGGCCGAAGAAAGATTAATGCATTGTAATTAGAAATCATATTGTTCTGCTTTGGAAAATGTAATTTCAAGTAAAATATATAAATATTTCTGTATTTATTATTCCTGTTTAATCACTGTATATAAATTATAAAATGAGTGTCGATTATATAATTACTATGATCGATCAATCACTTACGTGTTGGAAATTAACATAAATCTTTTAATACTATTTTGATAAGTAGAATACAATACAATCTTTATTACTAAAAGAAATTCAAAAACATGTAATTTCTGGATTATTCTCCACCTTTATCTAAAATTGCAGAATTACATTTCGTCATCCATTATTACTATTGTAAATCCCTTAGGATCATAGTATGAGAGCGCCGTCTACATGTTGTGTTAGTCAAAAATTAAAATTAATTTTTTTAACATATATAATACAATAATAATCTCAAGTCTATACACATTGGGTATAAAGAATTCGATCATAGCATTGAAAGAACTATAAATACCAAGATTTTAATAATTTTTCCACTAGTAACATTACGAGGCTGTGTTTCCGTTTATTTATTGAAACCATTTTCAAAGGAAATTTGATTCGACTATCGTTAAAATTTATGAGATTATAATTACCGTAATATTTACTTAAATAAAAAAAAACGTATTACTTAGTTATCTGAAGATATCATTACATATGATATCTTTCTTTTATTTCGTTTATTTAAGTATTAATTCAATTTGTCTAAATTATAAATATATCTTTTAAATAAAAGTGTATAAATTTTGTATAAATAATATATTATATCAGTAGTCAGTCAAAATCAATTCCATTACAAACTACTTATATTTACAGAGGTATCTTATTTGTTTTCGCTCCTTGTTTAGAGAGTTACAGATTGAATACGGCAACACTAGCTGTGTGTTTTGAATACTTGCGTGTGTGTGTGAGTGATGTCTCTTTTCCTCCGCCATTAAATTTCATTTTAGCCGAGAATTGAAATAGGTCGTACCTTTCTTAAATCGGCAAAAATCTTCATAATCTTTTCCCTTTTAATAATTATATTCAGTCATATTCCGCGGAAAAACATCATATCCGATGGCAGACAGAGACACAGATGAGTTAAACATCGATAATGTTATAAAAAAATTATTAAAAGGTAAATGTTATTATTGTAGGAAGTAAACGAAAATATTGTTAATTTGCGCCTACCTGAGGATTACAACTTAATACTTGTGTTTTTATGTGAATTTATTTTGTGAAAAAAGTGATTTACTTGTGTCAGTGTAAATGTTTATTTTGGTTGTTTCCAGTACGAGGCGAGAAGCCTGGTATGAATGTACAGTTGACAGAAATAGAGATCAAAGGGCTATGCTTAAAATCGCGGGAAATATTCTTATCGCAACCGATATTACTTGAATTGGAAGCCCCGTTAAAAATTTGCGGTAAGTAAATAACATATATTTCATAAACTATTACTATTTACTACTATTAAATTCCATAAACAACTTATTTCTGACGTGTTTAACAAATGCAAAATCAGCGTTATACTTACCTACTTTCAAATTGTCTACTTCACTTTTATCTTGTGTTTTAGTCGTTATTTTAAATTAAAAAGCTTGGGGGTACTTTATATACAGTTTAAAATCACTCATACAGCTATCCTTACATACCCTCTTAACAAAAATACAATATCAACCTAATTGTAAAAAGTGTTTTTATTTTAGTATATATTGTCTTATAATATCTTTACCAATTTTGATTATTCTTTTTGCCATATATACACCTGTTTCCAATAATAATATTTAAAATATTCAGAATCTTATTGTCTTTATTATTTACCAGTCACCTCCAACCCAACTTTGCTCAAGTACTCAATTCTATGAATTTTGTGTATATTTACAATATATGTAGCCTATTTTACACTAGAATGTTATACCTTCCAAACAGTACAATAATTCCTTAAAATGTATAGTGATTGCATATTTTAGCTTCCTTAGAACATATTCTATTCCACCCATTTCTCTTCATAATGTTAGTCATAGTAAAATGTGAAGGTAAATCTTTATAATTCACATAACACGGTCTAGTTCCAAGCTAAGCAGAGCTTGTATTATGGGTACTGGATGACACATAGAATTCTTAAATACATTTATGTATATATATAGAAAATACCAAGACAATACAAACAATCTACTTATGAATATGTTCATGCAAGGAATAAAACATGCTACCATCTGAAGTAACATGGTGTGCTAAACTGCTAAACCAACAAGTCAATATATAGCATACTATCTGTGCATGTGATTTCACCTGCATGAAATTTATAGCCTATGTGTTTTTCTGATTTATAAGCTATATTAGTGTAAAATTTCATCAGAATCTGTACAGTAGTTTTTGCATGAAAGAGCAACAAACATTCATCCATACTAACGAACTTTCAAATTTATAATATTAATAATAAGATATTACTGTAATTACTACAGATATTATCATTGTAATTTGTCATAAGATCAACAAGATATCATCTGTTTTTTAGTTATCCTATTTATTTGTTGTCGCCATAAAATATAAAAGATCAACAAAAAGCTGGTATTAATATTGTGAAATGCTTAAGATAATGTACCTTTTATCTTTTATATAACTTATTTATTTTATTTATACTCTTCATTGACAGTAATTAAAATGTGAACTGATACAAAAGGCAGTATTGTCGCTTAGCAAATTCTTACAGATTACCTTTGGGTGTATAGAGAAATGATAAGAAAAAGAACCTAATTTATTGTTAATTTTTTTAAAAGGCAAAGGAACTAAGTCCTGCCTCATCAAAATTACATTCTATTACATTCTATTATTTGTCTGTTTTAAGAACATTTGTTGTAAGTATTGGTATCTGTCAAATCTATGTGTCATAGTGAGTGAGTCATTGTATTGAGTGCATTCAAATGAATTGTATGTCAAATTACACAATTGATTTGGATGGATTTGAACTTCACTACTAATAGTAGTGAAGTTACAATTTAATTTAAAAAAAATTAATATGCAATTACCAAAAGTGACAAAATTAATATTTTGACATGTTTATTTGACGCATAGTACCCATCCCTGTCTATTTGCTTATATCTTAAATTATGGAACAGATTTTAATGCAGTTTTCAGCAATAGATAGAGTAATCACTCTATCTAAAGATAAAGATTTATATATATAATAATATGTGTATGTTATAGTATAGAACAACCCCAGAAGTAAAACGATTTGTAATGCATCTATGCTAAGCCGAGTTTTTAGTATAAAAAATAATAATAACACAGAGCCATCTAGTACCCAGGTAAGCAAGGCTTGTCTTATGGGTACTAGACAACTGATAGTTATACTTAAATATATGTTTCTTTGTAAATGCATACTATAATATACATAGAAAACACCCAGACCAACACAAAATAGTTATATTCAGTAATACAAATGTTTTTTCTGTGCGAGTAATTGAACCCACTACCATTAGAATTAAGGTGGTATGCTAAACTGCTAGATCACAATGTCTCTTCACATACGCTGAGATTGAATTTAATGTGTTTTAGATAAATTATATTTTGTTTATGTCCGTTAATTTATGAGTAAAGGCTATGACGGTGTAGGGGAGAGGGTGGCTTCACTACCCTTAATGAGTCCTAGACTAATTTATCTTGATTAATACCTACCTTTTAATTAAACTGACTAATTGTAGTGTGTAAATTATTGCTTTGAGATAAAAGCCTGTTTTCTTTTTTTTTAATGTTGATATAACCCTTATGTGATGAGGGTATATGCTGGCAGGGCAGCAATGGAGGTTGAGAGAATGAACTAGAACATAGATCAGTTAGACCATTGTGACCAATTAACAGGAATTAACCAAAATGATGTTAGCAGGTTCCACATATAGGTTGACCTTAGCTTTTGCTTGTTACTTTTTAATAACTTTCTTAGAATGAAATATCACATATGTCTTTGACTAATTGCAAAATGGACACAAAAATAACATTTTTACACCAAAATGGCTAAACTTATGAAATTTGACATCATCATTGTATCAGGAATATTGGCTAAGCTATATCTCAAAAAAGCAAGAAAAAATCGCAAGTAACAGATATTTAACAAGCTCATGATTATGTTTAACAAATGATCTAATACTTAATAATTCTACTGTCATTTTTGTTCATAAACTGAAATGATAATGAGTGATAAGAATATGTGTTGGCAGATAACAGACTAAATAGGTACATACTAAGGTTTTAAGTTGATAAAAAAAAAATTGTACCTAACAATTATATTATTATTTAATATATTACCTAAGCTATGAAGTACTTTTTTGATCTGCGATTATGAAATGGTTCACCAGCCTGTATTAACACTATCTGGGAACAGTGGAGGATTACAGGATAAGGTCAGATTAGTCAGCCCATTGTGGCAAATTCACCAGCAATTTAACACAATGGTTTCCAGGGGGAATTTCATGGTATGGTATGGTATTGAGGTCAACCTGACATGGTATATTGCTAGCAATGGGTTTACTTATTCAGATTACTAACAATCCACTTTCTCCCTATGATATGTGATGCTAGTATACATCCAAAGCCAACGTAATTCAGTGTATTTTTAAATTATAGAGTAGAAAATAAATCAGGGAATGCAAAAAAATTAATAATATAATAATAATAATAGCATTTATTACTGTTAATTTTTTTTTAATTATACATATATAAAATTCACGAAGTTAAGGGCACCTGGGCAAAGCCGGGGTGGACTACTAGTTACTGACAATCCATTTACCAAAACACATTTACTGTATACTAGGTCTCAGGATAGTGTCGGCCAGGTCTGTTTTAAAAAGCCGTTCTGTATTCTAAAGAGAAAGTATTTCATTCTAGATACATTTTTGTAGAGAAACTTGAACTAAAATATTCTAACAAAATTTATAAATATTTGACATCCAAATTAATATGAATGTCACTAATTAAGAATATCAAATCAAAAATCATTTATTCATGTAGGACATTTTAGCCGCTTATAATTTTATTTTTTATTTTAATACAGTTTCCATACCGTCCAGTGTACAGATTTCATTGAGAACTAGCAAACAAGTCAACTGATATACTGTTTTTTTATTTAAAGCCAGTTTATTTACATTGTGTCCTTATGAAGGTGTCTATGTCTAACATTAAATTAAAATCCCGTGAACAAGTATTGCCATGCTCGTTTGCCATTTACACATCAGAACAGACCAGTTCCTTCAAACAGCGGGTGCTGCTTCACGAGTATAACGGGTGAGCGGCATCACTGCGCTCAGACTCATCAAATTTTAGGGAGACCAATTTCTACCTAATTAATTGATTACAATATATCTTTTATTCAAATAAACTGCACTTTTGAATGGTTACGTTTATTCTTCTTTTAATCTAACACTCATTTGGAAAACTGTCTTACAAAAATGAGTAAGAAACTTGCGTGTCGCTCTTTGTGATTGTAATATACTATAAACATTAATCAAAAGAGCAGCACACAAATTTCTTGTGATGAATCTGCGTTCCGAATGAGTGATAGAATCAAAAATATGACAATTCAAAAGTGTTTATAATAAATTTATTTGAAATTTCTATTCTATTCTAATAAAAAACCGTTTGCTCTACAGGAGATATTCACGGACAGTACTACGACCTGCTGAGGTTGTTCGAGTATGGCGGGTTCCCACCAGAGTCCAACTACCTGTTCCTCGGAGATTACGTTGACCGTGGCAAGCAGTCCCTAGAGACCATCTGCTTGCTGCTCGCATACAAGATCAAATACCCAGAGAACTTCTTCCTATTACGAGGAAACCATGAGTGTGCTAGCATTAATAGAATTTATGGGTGAGTGTTTTATTATATCTTGTTTAGTTATATCTATAAATAACTTTCCGTATGTGTACAGAACGACGGCACCTGTAAGCGTAATTAATTATAAGGGTAAAGGTATATAAGGGTAATTAATTCTTGATTCGTTTTATTTGAAAATTGTAGAGAGAAAGATTTTATATATATATATAAAATCCTATAAAAAAATTTTATATATATTCCTTAAATCGTATGGAAAAGTAATAATTATCCCAGAATACGTCTTGGTGTTTACAATGAATATATGTGTACTACAAGCTAAACCACGCAATTTTATCTGAATCACACTTACTTTATTTATCATTATATTTCTCCCAATTTACATAATATCTTTTTAAATTTGTTATTCTTATGTATAAGCTATATTACTGTAAAGTTTCGTCAAAATCCGTTGAGTAGTTTTTGTGTGACAGTGTAACAAACTTCCATATGACAACAAACGTCCATACTTGAGTATGGACTCACAAACTTTATAATATTAATAAGATAACAATCAATATTTTTACATTTTCTCATTTGGGACATCCATAAACGTTAATCAATTTCAGTAATCCTCTGTCAGCGTTGGTCACATGGTTTTAATACTAAAATTGAATTTTGTCGTCCCAATCTAAGAGACTTCCCAGGCGTGATAAGGCGGGTTAATACCATGGTCATGAGGAGAAGGAGATTGTTAGTAATAGGAACTAATAAACCCCATTACTAGTAATGTGCCATGTTAGGACGACCTCCACGCGGTGCTCCCTGGTAACCATCATGATTAATTTCTAGAGAATTCGTCACGATGAGCCAACTGACCTGACCTCATGTTCATCTTATCTCCACTGATGCCCCGCCAGCGTAAACCGTTAGCGCAGGCGGGTGCATAATTCCATTATCATCCATGAAAAAAAAAATACCATGGTCATTGTTTTTCTCATGAAGTTTGTGACTTCTCCATGTCATGTCACACGGGCCGTTCAAGTATTACGTAAGCACTATAGGGGGCGGGGGTCTTTTCTTTGCTTATTTTGGATGACATGGGGGTGGGGGAGTCTGTATGATGATTACGTCATCGGTCGTAATTTACTTTTTTACACGAATGGCAACCCTCACATTGTCTTTGTTAAAAAAACAATACATTAATTGAGAAATGTTTACGTAAGCATGGGGGAGGGGTAAGAGCTTTGCTTACTTTTGCTGACAACGGGGGATGAGGGGTAAATAATTGTGATAAATCTGCTTACGTAATACTTGAACAGCCCCACACTTGTCACAACAACCTCTTAGCATGTAGCGTAAATTATAAATAACCCCTTACTACACAATAACCAGATTTAAACGAATTAAAAAAATAATCAATTGTTATTGCGTCTCAACAAAAAATATGCAGTTAGGTTCTAATGTGAACAAACTTGTTAAAACAATAACATTTTTAGTATGTATGTAAGCATATTTTTTATACGTTCGTCTTGTACCGGAAGTGGATACTCGTCAGGGTTGCCAAATTTATAACACTTTAATCTAGTTCGAACAAGAAAAATCTATTTAAATGTTCTGTATTAACTCAATTTGGCTTTTATATGTGTGTAGGTATGTGGTATATTTTTGTTACGATCCTCTTGTACCGGATGTGGATACTCGCCAGGGTTGTCAAACTTGACGCTTAATCTCATACGAAAAGAACACAATCTAATTGAACGTTTTATTACCTCAATTTGGCTCTCCAAAATCGTAAATAATATTTTGACTGATATTCCTAGGTTAAAACTACGTACATACTTGTAGGAGGATGTAAATATCCTTGTACCAAAGGCAAAAACCTCGAAATTATACGAGGATCCTCATACAGTTGGCAAACATGGTACTCGCGTATGGTCACGCGTTGTGATCACGAAACAAAAACTTATATATGCAGGAACTCATAGTACGCGATGCTACCGTGAACACAGAATATATAATATACCCTAACCTTCATCAATAAGTCTACATTTGTTTTGTTTTATTTATATACTAGCTGTTCCCGCGACCACGTCCGCCTGGAATTTAACATTATTTTTCTAAAATAAAAGTAGCCTAAGTTACTCCTTATTACATCAGCTACCTGCCAAAAAAAGTCCCGTCAAAATAGGTCCAGCCATTTCAGAGATTAGCCGGAACAAACAGACAGACAGACAGACAAAAATAGTAAAAAATGTTATTTTGGTGTATGTACCGTATTTATATTCATATGCATGTAGTAAAGAACGGTTATTTCAATATTACAAACAGATACTCCAATTTTATTTATATGTATAGATTATTTTGTACACAAAATTGGATACATAGCGAACTTGATGCCTGGTGGCATTCTCTACCAGTCAACCGTCGCGGTGATCAGAGATAATAAGGCGGTGCAATTTAATAATAGATGTTAAGATATAAAAATAGATAAAGATGAAATACAAATCTATTATTATTATTATTATAGCCTATATCAACTTATACATTATTTAAAAAAAAACATAAAACTTTAAAAATTTAAAAAGCGAAAAAACTTTTGTATTAATCTATTTTAATTTCTGCGGATCTGTTTGCCAATCGGCAAAGGCCTACAATCGTTTCCATTCTCATATATATATTATATTATATTGTGTTCAAGTATGAGTAACTATTAGTTATAACATTGTTCTAGGTGTTTTCTATGTGAATTGTGTATGTTTTTATTTATTTACAAAGGAAAATGTATTTAAGCATTTCTATCAATTGTCTAGAACCCATAACACAAGCTCTACTGAACTAGGGTTTAGACGCGTATGTGAATTGTACAGGGTTAATATTATTATTATAATATTGTACCTCGCGTCGCTGACCTTACTTACCGTTATTTATATTTTTTTGTTTTGTCACGGCCAGCAAAAAATTACAGAATGAACGCTAAAAACAAAAAAGTACTTACAACGCGGGCGTATGATCGGTAGTCGCCGTTTCTTATTAACTACATAATGGATAAATCCGCGGTATATAGCAAGTAATAAAATTTTCAATTGATTCCATTAGCCTCTCCTTTTGATAGTACATATTTTATTTATTTATTTTTATTTATATTAATAGCACATACTTGTACATCTAAGGAACAAAATTTATAAATAAATCAATAAATCTGCATCATATGAAATAAGTGACGGCCTCGGTGGTCTAGCGGTTTAGCACAGTACTTTTACATCCGATCGCGCCTTCGATTCTCGCACGGCAACTATTAGTATTACTGGGTTATAATATAAAATGGACATGAGATTATGTCAGTTGGCCCATTGTGACAAATTCACCAGGAACTTATCACTATGGAGTCCAGGGGAAACTGCATGGAGGTCAACTTGATATAGTACATCGCCAGCAGTGCAATAGCATTTCACTTTACTAACAATCCAATTACCATTGTTATTCCTATATTGTGTATATATGTTTTTATAAAGAACAAAATATATGTATTTAGGTATGTCTATGAGTCGATTAGTAGCCTAAGCATTGTATAAGCTTTACTTAGTTTGGGATTAGATAGCGCTGTTACTTTTTCTGGGTTTCCATATCATTATTTTTCATAAATTTAAACAAAACTGACATGTTTAGTACTTCAGTCGAATTTTACAGTTAACATATAACAATATTTTATCTAGTACATTCTTTCTTTGTTCGTAATATACGAGTAATGACATCAACGATCTATATCTTAAGATAAAAATGTACGAAGATAATTCTATATATGATAAGGAAATATATATGTCAATTATACAAAAATAACGGAAATTAGTCGGTAAAGCGCAACAGACAAAGTTACTTTCGTATTTATAATACTACTAGCAGACCCAGACATGCGTTGCTGTAGCTAAGGTTCTTGCATAAAATAATATTGCGACTATAAATTAAGATGTAATCTATCCTATATTTCAAGTTGGATCAAATTGCACACAATGTGCAAATCAAATTTGCAATCAGTTCAGTAGTTTAGGAGTCCATCGCGGACAAACAACGTGACACATATTTTTTTTTACATATAATAATAATAATCTCAGGACACTTCACACTGCGCCATCTAGATCCAAGTTAAGCTAGCTAAAGTTTGTGTTATGGGTACTAAATAACTGATATAAATACATAGATTTTTTTTGTATAAGTCCATATTTACATAGAAAACACCCAGACCATTACAAACAATCATACTCATGAATGCAAATGTTTGTGCTGTGCTAGACCGCTAGAACACCGAGGTCGTCACTTATTTCATATGATGCATATTTATTGATTTATTTATAAATTTTGTTCCTTAGATGTACAAGTATGTGCTATTAATATAAATAAAATATGTACTATCAAAAGGAGAGGCTAATGGAATCAATTGGAAATTTTATTACTTGCTATATCAGGATCAGTTGAACATTAAAAATTCAACTTGAAGGAAAAACACCTAGGTAGTTAAAATGGCGATCTTATACGAGATTATCTCATGTTTGTAAACAATCCTTGATAGCTACCGCCTACTATCAACGAAAGTTAACCTTTGCCGCTATCGTAGATAACAATATTTTCTTGTATATACACATAAATCGTCATATACGGGATTCATAGTATCGGTTTCAAATCGTAACCAGGGTTTAGTGATGGGATTAGGACATGGTATTTTCAAGGCCATTGTCTGTAGTACTCAGGTCGTAATGTAGGTACGGATGGTGGGACGAAAAATTACGCCAATGTAGAAAGCTTCTTTATTACAAAAATAAGCTAATAATTTATTAAATTTGTTGGTCGGTGTTAAATACTCTACATAAAAAAAAGATATATAGAAAAGCATACATGGTGCTTCTCCAGGGCATCGGTTGCCACTTTCCAACATGGCCGCTAGCTTGTTTGCTATTGTAATGACAAAAAAAATTGTATGGGACATTTTATTTTTCGATTTTCACCTCGTTTTTTTATTTAAGATGTTTTCTTTACTTTTACTTTCCCTATAAAAATATAAC